TCGTGGAAATTTTGTGTCAATGCGAGAGATTCTATAAACTTGTTCTTTAAGGAATTATCATACAAAATAATATCAAAATTATTCATAAGTTCAGACTTTAATTAATTAAGGTGTTTGTACAAACTTGATAAATAAATTTGTTCCTATAACAGAATTAACATAAACACATCCATCTTACCTCTCCCTGAACATTAGCTAAAGCAATAAGATCCATACGGGGAGACCATACCATACGCACAACCTCCGCTGAGAGGTGCTTCTCCTCCAGTTGTCTGAATGCTTTCTGCATGCTACTCAGCTAACAGATATAACCTGTGAACAACAACAAAGATTGCTTATACATTCAAATTTAAACAAAAAGTTTATCTGATCCATACAACAAGATACTGCTCTCTGCTCATTGATCATAGTGACAAATGTAATAACTAGGTCGTGCTATACACTGAATCTAATAAAATAGCTAGAGGGTGCCACAACAGAGAATACTGACAGGCAAAAATATACTATGGTAGTATATGTGCAGCAATTAACCAAATTTATACTGAAAACAATTTTAACACAATTACAAAAACAAGTTCTGAATTTGAGGTGTGTAAATATTAGACAAATTTTGCAAATGATTTGCTTTACTTTATGTGTTTTGGGACTTTCTAATGTACCCCTACTTCTAATCCTAATTCTAACCCGACTCCTATCATCTATTGCTCCCTCAAATTAATTGTATATCACTATATGCCCTTCATGACATGAGGTCACATATAGTTATCTAGAGGGGAAATATAACAAAATGGGGCATTGGAGGGTTAAGTTTCGAGTTGAAGTAAGGGGTGGGGGTACATTGGAAAGTCTTTCCTGTTTTTTATATCGATTTTCTGATTTCTGTAGATTTTACGAGTTAGGTGTGGAATTGTGCTTTTTCACTAGTATACCAGCTAATGTCTATGTATTACCAAATTAGATATTTCAATTAAACACAAATGAATATAGCCATTTATAACTATCAGCTAGATCGAAGTAAAGTGTATAGTTAGAAAACTATTCATCCCCGGTGAGAACAAAATATTTTTTCAGCATATATCCAGATATATAGCCATTTATAACTATCAGCTAGATCAAAGCATGGAAGGTAGTAACGGAAGGAGCCACGACGCCTATCAATTGGCCACTTAAGCCTCTTAACTGGTTTATTTTCTTTTGTTTCAACCCAAATTAATCCTGATAAGGACATTGTCTAGCTCATCTTTGATGTCGATGATAGTTTGCGATTGTTTACACAAGTAACGAGTTAGCGGAGTATGATAAAACCTCGCCGATTTTTAATGTGACCATAAAATATATGCGCATTTTTGAAACTACGGTCATCACACATACGCACTGGGTTTGTTTAGGTGCGAAAGGACAAAATACGTATTTCACGACCGGAAATTCAACAGATGAACGTTTGACTTCACAAACTTCACATGTTTTAATTATTAGCGACTGTAACTATAACAAGATTCCGAGTGCATACAACAACAATTCCTAAGGACTCCTACAAAATATTATCACAGAGAAAGTGTCTAGGCATGCTCTTCTTTT